TTCGCCAAGTAACTTCTCGCAAATGGCCTGAATCAGCCGCCGAGGGGGTCCGATACGTCACTTGGAGGAAGACGTGCACATACATATATATATATATATATATATATATATATATATACATACTTACAAACATACATACGTACATGCATGACAGACAGACAGACTCACAGACGTATGCATAAACGTAAGTCTGAACATATATATATAGACACACACATGCATATACACATCGAGATATGCATATATATATATATATATATGCATACATTTCTATATATAAACATATGCATAAACATATGTGTAAAAACATTAATGTACATTTAGATGTGGTTGTATATGTGTGCATATACACATATGCATAAATATAAAACTATGAATATGAGTGTACATATACTTGTGTGAACATATTCATATACATATACATACAGAAAAAATACACAAATCTATGTATATACAGATACACGTACATATACGTATACATATACAAATGCATCGACGTATACATAGACATATACGCATGCATACACATTGGCCAAAACATGCGACATATATATATCTATACACTAGAACCACGCGCGCGCTTCGCGCGCGCTTAGGTTCTAGCGCGGACTTCCCCGATTGTGAACGCGAGCTCGCCCCACACGGGAGCGTGCTGCCAGAAGGACCGCTGTCGAAAGAACGGCGGGGCTCTTCCGGCCACGGCGAGGGTCTTGGCCACGAAGAGGTCCCCCGGCCTGGAACTAGGCAGCAGCACGACGAGCCAGAGCCGCTCCTGTGCCCAAGGCGGTCCTTGCTTCGGCGTCCTGGCCGGGCTCATTGCATGCTCAACGAGAGCTTCACCAACTACATCAAAACGCGGACTACAACAACCGCACCCTGATTACTCTGATGACTCAAATCGTGCCGACAGTGTTGCAGCATACGGCTCTGGTGAGTAACGCCAGGAAGAGGAACGCCAGCCCTGCCTGGACGGGAGGACCCCAGCCAGCGCAAGGAGAGTCTTGCTTCTTCCATGGAGTGAGGAGGAAAACTGTGCGAACAAGGAGAATTAGCACCCAAGGGAACCCACAGGACAGCCTCAAGTGACAAAACCATATCTGATTTGTCTTTAAACGGTTCTCGCATTCTCGCCAGCTCGGGGCTATGAACCCCGAGGAGAAGGTGGCCCAAGATGGTCCCCGGGAGGGGCCGGAGAGGCCCGCAAGGGGGAACTCGTGGGGGCTGTTTGGGAGCCTCTTGAAGCCTCGTTTGGGCCTCCTGGGTGCCTCTTGGGGGTCTCCTGGGGCCTCTTGGGGCCCCCGGGGCCCGGTGGAGGCGGGAGGCTCGAGTTTCCGGTTCGCGGTTCCCCTCTTGGGGCCCTCTGGGGGCCGTCTTGGGCCTCTCTTCGCCCGTCTTGGGCGCGTCTTGAGCCGCCTTGGGGCCCTCCAGAGCCGTCTTGAGGGCCTCTTGGAGGCCTCTTGGGCCGTCTTGGGGCGTCCGCGGGGGGCCTTTGAGCCTTCGTGGAGCGTCGGTCAGCTGAAAAGGCGGGAAAGGCAAAATGTGTCCAAAACCTTAGTAAAATTAGCGATTTTGGCCTCTTGGGGCCCTCTGGGGGGGCCTCTTGGAGGCCTCTTGAGCGTCTTGGGGGCCTCTGTGGCCGTCTTGGGCTTATCTTGGGCATCTTGGGGCCATCTTGGCGCCCTCCTGGGCCTCTTGGAGCCTGCTGGGCCTGCATGGTTCTAGCCCAGGCCGGGGGGCGCTGGACGATCTTGGACAACGCTATCAAGCACAGGCGCGCGACGGCATCTGAGGAGCTTCTGGGGTGTTCCGCATGCTTCGTCAACTGGCTGTTGGAGGCACCTCTTGGGTGCTTCTTGGGGGGGCGTCTGAGGGCCCCTTGGGGGCATGGGTTCTGCAATTTGAAGCCGTCATTGGCCGTCTTGGCTGCGTGGAGGCCCGACTTGAGGCCACCTGCTGCCAGATTGAGGCAATCCGGGAGCCTCCCGGGGGCGTCCTGGAAGCAGTTTTGACGCATCGAGGGCACTCTTGGGCTATTTTAAAGCCTCTTGGACGTCTCCTACGGGCCTTTGAGGCCCTCGGGAAGCTTTTGGGGTCCTCGTCGGACCACTTGGGGGCCTCTTGCGGCCTCCTGTGGGCCTTGTGGGGGGACCGCTCTGCTGTTGGGTCGCGTTCCCCTTCTTGGGCCTCTCTTGGGGCTCTTGGGGCCCTCTGGGGCCGTCTTGGACGCATCAAGCACCGTCTTGGGGCCCTCGCGGGCCGTCTTGGGGCCCTCTTGGAGGCATCTTCCTCTATATGGGAGCGGTATTGGAAGCCTCTTGGGCCGTGTTGGACATCGGGATGCCAAAAGCAGAAAACAACGTAGAACCCGTCAAAGCCCAATCGTAAAACAATGAGTTCTGCCTCTTGGGGCCACCTTGGGAGATCTCTTGGAACCTCGTCGGCCCTCTTGGGAGCTTCTCAGGGGCCTCTTGGATCCGATTGGGGGCATCTTGGGTCTTCCCGAGAACCTCTCGGGGTAGAAAGCTCGGATTCTCGATTCGTGTTTCCCTTCTTGGGGCTCTCTTGGGGCCGTCTTGGGGCCCTCTCGGGCGCCTCGGGCACAGCCTTGGGGCCCTCGTGGGCCGCCCAGGGCCCTCGTGTAAGCCTCTTCGGCTATCTTCGAGCTGTCTTGGAGACCTCTTCCTCCTCCTCGTCCCCCTCCTCCTCCTCCTCCTCCCACTCCAGCTCTCTCTCCTCTTGATCTTCCTCCTCCTCCTGCAGCGTGTTCCGGAAGGCTCCCGCCAGAACATGCTGTGCACAAGTGCTGTCACTGCTCCCGCCACCGTGCCCTGGGTGGTGGGTCAGAGGCCTCATGGGTGTTAGTTTGGATCTCGTGGTTGGCCTGTCGGGGACGTCGTGAAGGCAGTTTCGCAGTTTCTCGGTAGCCGTTTTGGGACCGTTGTGGGGCCTCCTCGGGGCTGTTTTGTGGCCTCTTTAAGCCTCGTTTGGGCCTCCTGGGTGCCTCTTGGGGGCCTCCTGGGGCCTCTTGGGGGCTCCTTGGGGCCTCCTGGGGCACTCTTCAAGCCGGAGGGTCGAATCTTGGAGTCGTGGTCCCCGTCTTAGGCGCATCTTGGGGCCGTCTTGGGGCTCTGTTGGGCTGTCTTGGGCGACTCTGGGGCCCTCTTGGGGCCCTCTTGGGCCGTCTTGGGGCGCTCCTGGGGGCCTATTGAGCCGTCTTGGAACGTCGGACAGCCGAAAAGGCTGGAAGGCCAAAATCGTTCGAAAACCTTCGTAAAATTGACGATTTCGGCCTCTGGAAGCGCTCTGGAGAGGCGTCTTGAAGCGTCGTGGAGTGCCTTGGGGGGCCTCTCGGGCCGTCTTGGGCCTATCTTGGGCGTCCTGGAGCGGTCTTTCGGCGACTCGGGGCCCGCTTGGGCCGTCTTGGGGCTCTCTTCGCCCGTCTTGAGCGCGTTTGGGGCCGTTTTGGGGCCCTCCAGAGCCGTCTTGAGCCCCTCTTGGAGGCCTCTTGGGCTCTCTTGGGCTCTCTTGGGGCGTCCGCGGGGGGCCTTGGAGCCGTCGTGGAGCGTCGGAAAGCTGCTGATAAGGCGGGAAAAGCAAAATGTGTCCAAAACCTTCGTAAAATAAACGATGTCGGCCTCTTGAAGCGCTTTGGAGAGGCGTCTGGAAGCGTCGTGGAGTGCCTTGGGGAGCCTCTCGGGCCGTCTTGAGCTTATCTTGGGCGTCCTGGAGCGGTCTTTCGGCGACTCGGGGCCCGCTTGGGCCGTCTTGGGAGCCTCTCGATGCCCTCCTGGACTATTTTGGACCTCCCCGGCCGCCCCGTCCTCCCATGGGGGGTTGGAGGCGGCGGCCTCCCAGGCCCAGGACGCGGAAACCCTGTAAAAACACAGGGAAAATGAGCCCCCGTCCCCCCATGGGGGGTGGGGGCACCTGTCCTGGGGCCCCCGGCCTCGCCCCCAGGGATATAATACGCGTGTGTGTGTTCAATATATATATATATATATATATATATATATATATACATATATACATATAGATGCTTCTATATGCACATCTATAAAGATATGCATAAGACATGTACCTACACATAGGCATTTACATATACATATACGTACACTCATACACACACATGCATACGCATGTATACAAATTGTTATGCATATACACATAAACATATGCATATGTACACACCTGGATATACATATAGAACATACATACACTAAATATATACACGTGTACATACACATACACACATTTATATACACACAGATACATACATGTGTACTCGTGAACATAATTATAATATATTCATGTGCCACAAGTACATCTACAAGCTACTAATACACACATACATACATACACACATATAGATATGCATACCCGTATGCACATACATGTACGTATACACATACATATACTTACACACACATATATACACGTGTGTATAGACATACCCATAAATATATACATATATATATATACATACATACATACTCATACACATATACATATACATATACATATACATAGACAATGTACATGTGCATGTACGTGCTCATATACACATTCATAGATGCACGACTATACATCTACATATACCTCCATACATGAATACATGCATACATACACACATACATACATACATGTATAGAGACTTGTTTCTGACGTTTGCGAGTGGGCACTTTTTGCGGGTAAAGGCACTCGCGCTTGGTTAAAGAAAGGGCGCCGGTTTTCCAGATCGGTGCGGAGCCGCGGGGCCCGAGGCTGGAAGGTCGGAGCGGAGGCTCGACGCGCTGCCCCTCCCTGAAGGGGCCCCAGGACACACAAATAAATACACGCAGATAAAAAGATTCCCCATATTTTCTCTTATTTTCTGGGTTTTTGTCTTCCCCCCCACTTCCCATATGTTCCCATATTTTCCTGGGAGTCGACGATTAATTGTGTCTGTGTGTTTTTTCCCCTCCTGACTCTCGCCTCCCCCCCGCAGCAGGAGCGGAGCCGGCCTTGCAGACGCAGTCCGTGATGTGGATCTGGAGGTCTGGGAAGGCGCGCATCTGCGAGAAGATGGCGTCCCGCAGCTCCTGGGGCGGCCCTGCTCTCGTGCGCCTCCTCCTCCTCCTGAGGCCGTCGCCCCATCTTCGCCTCCGGACGCTGCCACTGTCTCGAGGCACCGATGCAAGACACGCGGGGCCCCGCGGCAGCGGACAAGAGAGGGGGGGCTCGCGAGCGCGCCCGCGCGTGCCTGGTGGGACGGGCCCTTACTATCTCCCCCTACTGACTTCCTTTCCTCACTCACTCTGCTACACTCCACAAACTAACTTCCTTCACTAACTTGCCCTACTAACTCCCTATATTAACTTCTGCGGCGACCGCGGATTTGCACCCAGGGACGAAGTAAGACCGTTCGGGAACCCTCTCTCTCTCTCTCTCTGTGATTGCGTCGCCGATGTTGTTATGATGCTTGTCTTTACGGCCATGCTGCTACTGCCATCACTGGGGTTGCCCTTGAAGACGCCCTTCGGCAGGTTTCTTATGGTGTGCGACATCTCTACCGCTTTATCTAGCGCTACGGTCTCCACTTGCGAGGCCAAATGAGCGCTTTAAACAGACTTACTCGAACAGACAACAAATCGCCTTTGGAAAACTATGTCCTCGCAGCTCACATGGAGAACCTGGACTCAGTTTGCACGAAGGCCACCGCCGAGACTGCCATCGTTGAAGACTTGCTGTCGGTGCTGTTGCTGTCGGCACTGCCTCAAGCTGTGGCGCTGTCGCTATCGCCGCTGTCGTCGGCCGGAGAGTGCGCTGGACATGGCTCAGGCGCGCGCGCCACCACTGCAAGCGCAGTGTCATGGACGCGCTGTGGCTGCGACGGACAGCGCAAGAAAAGCAGCTGCCGAAGCAACCTATAGGGACATGGCACGAGAGCGCGTGCTTAAAACAGACACTGTCTATGTTGTGGATTCTGCTTTAGCTTGAGCGTTGGCACTCCTCCTCATCCTCATCCGCATCAACAATCACAACCTCATCCAGATCATCCTCCAATTCACAAAATAAATAACCATGCTCCAGCAGACCATGACGCAACAGCTCAGAGAGGAGAAGACCGCGCGTGTAGAGCATGGCGAGAAAACGACACATTAAAACGCGAGCGGCTTCAAGGGGAGGTCGAAGGAGGGCGGATGGCGCACGCAAGGCATGAGCGTC